GCTGGTGATAGACACATGCCACTTATTACACTATTTTCTTTCCTTTTCTGTGTATGTTTGAGACTTTCCACAGCAAAAACAGTTAGCAATTAAAAATATTAACGTTTTTCAATTTGGTAATGAAGGAAGCCCTGTATGAACATCATTTCTGAGATCATATTACCAGGCTATTTTAAAATAAAATTTCTGAAGAGGTTCTTGAAAATTCAAAAATTATACCAAATTATGTTATGTGCATGTATCAATATGTAACAACAAATAGTACTGTAATGTATAATTATAATGTATCAATAAAAATGACCTTATTAAAAAATTCAAAAATTTAGGGGCTGGGAATGTATCTCAATGGTAGAGCAAATGCTTAGCATGTACAAAGTCCTCGATTAGATCCCCAGCACTACCAAAAAAAAAAAAAAAATTGAATTGTTTTGTGTGGTATAAGTGATCATCAGCAAGTTTTAAGTAATTTGGTTACATGGAACATTATTAGAAATACTTAATTGTTTGAAACAGACATTTTTATTACTGTGTATATGTATGTGAATGCATGATCAATGTGATTCTGCAACCTGTATAATCAGAAAAATGAGGTAYTATATCCCATCTATTTCAAATGTATGATATGTCAAGGTCATTGTACTGTCATGTGTAACTAATTAAAACAAATTAAAAAAAGAAAGAGAGAGAGAGAGAGAGAGAAATTGTTATAACCAGGAAYAACCGTTGGCTCAGGCAAACCATCTACACTGAGGCTCTGACCCTCAGTCAGAGAAAAAAATGCCAGAAGGATATTGACAATTACTAAATATATCTTTGACATGCTATGTCAATACTTGAGGGTGAAAAGCAATTCGTGTTTGATTTTAAACTAATTCTTTAAGTACTTTGGTTTTCAGGTTTAAAAAATAGTGCCAACCAAAAACTCATGTCTGCTTAAAAAATTAACAGTGTAAATAAGCCAACAAATAAATAGATAAAAATTAATAATATAATTTTAAACATCACTGAGGAAACAATAATTTAGGACAAGGATTTCAAGATTGGTTCAACTGCCACAGATTATTAAAACATTCCAGTCCTAAATTCTAATCAAGCATTTCCACAACTAATAAAAATGTGTAGTCGTGGGAGGAGGGAAGAGGAAACACTTTGTCTCTTAGAGGCTATGTTCTGGAGAACAATGCCTTCCTTTGGAATCTGTGCCATAGCAGACAGGTACACCTCAGGGAGGCTGTTACTTCTTAATTACCCAGGAACCTCCATTCCCAGGGGTTTCTGCTCTTCCTCTCATCCTTCCTCTCCTCCACTAGTAAATAGCTGGGGAGTTAATCAAAGGTTCAAAGGTTGGTGATAACAGGCGGTGACAAACTGATGCCCTGCAGCTCAGGTGAGCAGTGGCACAGTGGCCAAGATGGACTTTATGTCAAATTTGCATCAGAGATGGCTGAAGGATCAGGAGAGTTTATTTTCGTTTCTCGAAAAAAAAAAAAAAAAAAGAAAAGAAAAAGAAAAAGAAATCATGTTCAGACTCAGACACTAGATACCAAAGTAGAATTCTGCACTTCTTGATGACATGGGCAATCAGGGCAAAAGGGAAATTATGGGAAGAAATGAAACACCTTCAGAAATGGAGGAGGAAACACACTAGTAGGCAGAATCCCTGAACAACTGCATGGAGAATGCCATCAAGGAGTCCCATATCCTTACCTTATGGTAAAACAGGCCAGAGAGGGAAGCAATTTGCTCCAAGTCACAGCAAAACAGGAACAGTGTGAGGTTTACGACTGATTTCCAGAGTGAGGCTCCTCATGCCAATCTATAAATATGGAACGTAGCATTCAAGGGCCAAGCAAAAGCTTAACCAGCTTAAGGACTGGGTGGAGCCAACACAGCGGGCACTAGCAGCTCAAGAAGGGATGGGGAGGGGCAGGGAAGCAGCTTAAATCATCTTAGATGCGGTGAYCTTAACCCTAGTGAGTGAGGTAGCATCCTAGGTGGATGAATTAGAATACAGGTCTTTCTAATCTGTGTTAAATTTTAGCTTTGAGGATTCAACCTAAGCTCAGCAACATCAAGGAATAGATGGGRCCCAGGCTGATCTCTCTAGCTTATTTAGAAAATCCTCTCAACTAGAAGTTGAGAAGAACTCCCATTTGGCCCCGACAGAAACTCTCCTGGAAGCTCAGGGGCAGCCCTTGTCAGCCTCGCTCTCTGGATCTGCCCATTTGTCTCAGAGATGCCCACTGAGGCTTCCCTCAATGCCTGCCATCTATTACCTCAAACCTAAGAGTGACTGCAGCATGGAATGGATGGGACTCTGGCCAACCTGACCAGAAGACCATGGAAGGGACAAATTGGTCCCCTCACTATAGAATGGGAGGGACACTTTCCTCTCCACCTCTTCCACCCTGCCTTGTCTTTATTCTGAAAAGAACTGAATTCAGTGCCAGCGAGAGGTGTACAGGGGTAGGGAGACAGCACAAATTGTCAGACTACCCTCTATCATTCCATAGGAGACTGACCTCTGCAAGGACAGGCATCTTTGAACAATCATGTATGATGAGGAAGGGGACAAGCAAAGCAAGAACAAATGAAGCTGGCTAGAAGCCCTCCAAAGCCTTTTAAGGACAGAGCAGAGGGAGAGCCCTAGATCCACACCCAGGAACAGTGTGGATCTAGGGCTGATTTGGGCACAGGCTCACATTTACACYACTTGGCTCCAGGCTACCTGGCCAGGGGTGCAGGGCTGTCCACCAGAGCTCAGACTGGTGTTGGGTCCTGGGCAGGGGCAGGAATTTACAGCTTCATTCACTGACTCTATTTTTCCCTATATAATCCCATTCCCAGGTCCCCAAAACTTCATGGAGCAAAACCCACAATTCTTGATGTCCTCTGCAATGCCACTTGCCACTGCTCTAGCCCCTTACTAGTCCCCATTTGCAAGAACTTTCCTTCCTCCCAGGTCGACTTTGGACCAGCTTTCCAGGCTTGAAGACCAGCCCCAGCCCGCCCAGCCTGGCGCACGGGCGCGGCGGWGTCGTGCTGGGACAGCTCCGCGCTGACTCCCCGGCAGCTGCGAGCCTCTACAAGTGTAGATCCGGCAGAGAGGAAACGGCAAGACCCTGCAGGGGCCAGCAGGGAAGCCGCAGACTTTGAGTGGAGGGCATTCGGGACTGATCGATATGGAGGGTAATGAATAAATAAATATATGAATGAATGAATGAATGAACGAACGAACGAACTGCAGCGATGGTGGCGGGTAGCGGTGGATTCAGACTGTGCCCTCCATTGCTCTAATGCCGCCGGGACCGAACTTCAGCCCCCAGGTTTGGCACCCTTAGAAACATCCCGTCTCCACACGAACACCTAACAGCTCCGTATGCGCCCAGCCCGCGAGGTGCCGCTCTGGACCCGAAGCCGCTTTCCCGCAGTCAGAAAGTGCCTGCCCTGGGGGCAGAACGCCCTGAGGTGATGTGGGGCCCCGGAGCTGCTCTGCTCCACGAGACATTGAGCCCCCCGAAGTGGCTTCTGGAGTCGCAGACCCAGTCCCAGGGCCGCAGCTTCCTTACCTGTCCGCCTCTGAGGCCTCGCTCCGGTTCAGAGCSGTCATCCCGGCGCCTACTCCAGACCCGGCACCGCGCTCGGGACCCAGAGCCCGAGAACTCCGCCCGCCCTGGGCAGAGCCCGCCTTCACCCGCCAATTGGCTGCTCTGTGGGCCGGGCCAGCCCATTGGCCAAGACTTCCCCTCTCCTGACCGCCCAGGTGAGGCCCCTATCTCTACACAGACCCGCATTCTGGATTCCCAGAATGCGGTCCTGGAAGCTAGAGCCCAGGTCTACATACCTACGGGTCCTCACATGTAGCCCCTTTTTAATTTTGTCCTCCTAGTCTTGGAGCGCGGYGCCCTCTACAGGAACGCAATCCTGCACTCCTACAACCCCCCCCAACGTTGAGATCCAGGGTGTTCCAATTTGGGACAACAGGGAGAATTTTTAACACGACAGTCAAAAATCCAGGTCACCAAGAATGCAAGGCCCAGCATTTCTTTAATTTTTTATTAGCGGATGGACTTTTATTTATATGCGGTGCTGAGAATTGTACCCAGTGCCTCACGCATGCTAGGTAAGTGCTCTACCACTGAGCCACAACCCCAGCATTATTTTTATAAGGAATCTGCATTGAGACGAGTTGGGAAGCAGTTATCAAGAGGTCAGTGATTGGTGTAACTGACAATAAACTGGGCTGAGCTGTGCAATTACGAATGGACCCAGAAGTTTTCGTTTTTAATATTGCTCGCCTGCAGGTCCCTTTCCCCACCAGGCTATTTGGTCCTTGAGTTTCAGGAGAGGGACACACAATCCCATTCTTACTCTACCCACCCGCCCACCTTGATCCTGCTGTTATCATGAAGAGAGCCATCAATACACAGAGACCCAAAGGGGGAAACTGTCCACAAACTTTCTGCACCTTAGGGCAGAATCGGAGTGCTCAACCTCAGTTCCTTTAATAGCCTTCTACTGGGGCTGGGGTTATAGCTCAGTGGTAGAGTGCTTGCCTAGCATGTGTGAGGCACTGGGTTCGATTCTCAGCACCACATATAAATTCACAAAATTCCACCAATAACTAATAACAATTTAAAGAAAATAGCTTTCTACTACAGGCAGACCAAAGTGGAAAACCAACTAGTACAAGGGCTACTGCACTCTAGGACTACACACCATTGGAATCTCAGGAGAAACTTCATGCCTGCCTTCTCCCATCTTTGGCCCAAATAAGGCATTACCCACGGGTGGGAAGTTTTAGACAAAAACCAGCCCAGTCTCCAGTATGCTGGGGGTAATCTGCAACTCAAGGTAGTAAGCTACTGCCTTCCTAGATCACTTGCCCATCTGCAGGATGCAGAGGCAGCTAAGACTCCCACCACAGGGCCATTTCCACCTACTCAGGGGGCAGGGTTCAGCCACCCCCCAGCCCCCACCAAGCAGAATAAAGAAACAGGTGCTTCAGCTGTTGTTTATTGACATACAGGTAGGCTCTATAGCAACAGGCCTGGAGGTGGCTGCAGTGTGGGGAAAATGGAAGGCAGGGGGTGGAGTGTTTTTCTGCAGCATGAACGTCAGCCCAGTGGAGTGCAGGAGAACAACACAGTGCACAACAAGGTGGAGTGGGGGAGGCTGAGGCAGTTGGGGAAGCAAATAAGTGTCAGGGTCCATTTGCATACACTGGAATCACTGCCCTACACCCTAAGCTCCTACCCCAGCTGGCTGTCTCCTGACCCCAGGCCAGGGCTAGGAGTTCTCTGGGCATCCACTTTCTATAGGAACTAACTAGAGGAGAAGGAGTTGTCACCTTCTTTCCATAGGTCTGGAAGCCTCCAGTCTTATGTTCCTCTTTTGCCCCCTTTTGGGTGGGACCACATGATGCAGCCAGGCTCTGGCTATCCCACTCGAGCAGGGTCTAAAAACAGACTTAATCTTCCCTGGTGTCCCAGCCCACCAGTGCCACACTACAGCCTAGAGTGAGCACTAGAAGCATTGCTGGCCTAATGGATGGGTTGGGGAAGGGGATAGGGCAGGGGCAGAAGGGGATCCAGGGATCATCATGGCACAGGTACTACACGCATGGTGTTGGTGAAGCCAGAGCCAGGGCGCCATCCAGTCAGCACAATGACAACATCTCCCTTCTTGAAGAAGCCTCGAGCCTTGCCAACATTCATGGCCAAGTTCACTCGGAGGTCCA